TTAGCAGCAGGCATGCCAGCGGCCAGCGGTCATTGACTGGGTCTGCCTACGCATGCAGGCTTGTGATTCGTTGCCGGCCCAGGGACCAGCTTTGCATCATCTGTGATTGGCTGTTCCCAGAAATCGAGAACCGCCGCCGTGAGTTTTGGCAAAGTAAGTTTCGATGCAAGCTAGTCACGACACATTTTCAAGCGGGCAACACTGGCCCTTCATCGGACGAGATGAAAAGTGAGGTCAGGCTTTGACACGATAGAGCAGAGAGGCCGACAAATAGCTATAGCAGGGGGAGACGATGGATGTATTACTTTTGGTGTTGAGGTTGAGGGGAGGGGGGTAAAAATTCACATAGTGGTTCAAGTTTCGAGATGCTGCATCAGTGAATTTCCACTCGGCCGATTGATACCTTAGGGTGGGTGCGAGTCAGTGACTCGTGTCCTCACGACTTTGCAATGTGCATCGAGATGACGTGACAGTTAATGCTCTTTGGGCTGGAGTGCCAATCTTTGAGGAATTCTGGCGGTTGTTTCGTATTGGCCATGGCGACCACCTCGGTGCTGTTTCAATAAAAGCCATCGCGCGCAAGCCTGCTTCCTCTTTACGCGCAACTCTATGCCGAATAAAGGATCCACGTATCTTAGGACGACTTAGCAAAGTCATTTACCGCATACCATATGCCAACTCTTCCTGCTTTTACGCTGACTAAACCGGCCGACGTCTTGGAACTCGCGTCAACGAACATACGTTAGCCGTTCGCCGACGGGACACCCTATCCCTCGTATTTGCGCACTCCCTTGATGGTCACCACCGCTTTACTTGGAATAGTATCAAGGTGATCGCCATGGCCAACACGAAACAAACGCGAGAATCCCTCGAAGCTTGGCACTCTAGTCTGAACAGCATTAACGGTTACATCGATCTAGTTGCACCTTACGGAGACCTGAGGGCACGGCTCATTGACTCGCACCTACTCTAAGACAACAGTCATGTCCCCCAGGTTTCCTTAAAGTTATTTAGTACGCCGTCTGATTAGATGTGCCGACTAATGGATGACTCGTTGGAACGTATACCCTCTAGACATTGTCTGCATTTCGAAAAATCCAAGTCTGTCAACGACCTAAAGGGCCGGAGTTTGTTCTGCAGTACTTTGCTTCTAGATGCATATACCATGTTTTCATAAACAGTCTCTGGCAGAAGGCCCTCCAAATGTATCATATCACGTTTAGAATTACTGTTCCTGACTGTCCTGGAAGGTCATTTCCACCATTTTTCAGGCCACGCACTATGGTGACATTTCGGGCTTTCAAATGGGGTCTTGGAGTTTCTTTAACCCTCGTTTACGTATAGGGAAAGTGGGTCATGTCGTGTGACACCGTTTGGAAAGTGCACAATGTTATGCACGTTGTACCCCACTTAATCCTGTCCCTACAAATAAACGAAAATCAGCGACCCTGCTTAATCACCCATCTGCACCTCCAGATTGGCTCTCCCTGAAATCAGCTTTGATTCTTAAGCCAAAGATGCTTAAGTTTAAGGTACCATTCTCACTGTTCGCCACTTCTTAAGTGGAATACTAGGGACTCGCGAATGTCTTCTCGTGGTTTCACCTGTCCTGACAGCCTGAAGTGCTCTGTGGCCTAAATTGACTCCCGAATCACATGATAACCTCATGGAGAACGTAGATTGGATAAGGATTTATCGTAGGTTCATCCAATGGCTAAAGTCTCCTAGCTCAAGTTGCTTACGGAATTTTTGGTTAAAGGCTAATGAAGTGGTTGCCCCTATATGCGATAAGAAAGAACATAGAAACGCTCTTAATTTTTTTCACTGAACTACAAATGTAGGTGAACAGGTTGCGAAAAGGACAAATAGGATTTAAAAATTAGCCTATAGACCAAAAAATCTTTTAGAACAACCCTTATTGGTTAACATAATCCAAGAATTGCATGAATTGGCGTAAATTCAACCTACTGATAATTTTCAAGTAGTGTAATTATGAGTAATACCCTCCCTCAGGGGTCCTACGATAAATCCATACCGTAGATTCGTTTTTTATTCGTTCAAAGCAGTAGATCTGTCTAACCAATTGTTTGCCCCTGGTCAAAGTCGGACACGCACATGCCTATTATGAATTTGCACCGTTTATTTTTATCCCTTTTCAGGTCGGAGCGTGATGCAGACTACTACAATTCGCTGGCGGGGGAACTCGAATCACAAGGTGAGTGGAAAGGTATGAGTTGGCGTTTTGCTCTGAATTGAATTTAGCTGCCGGTGATGCCTTTATGCAGGCTGCAAGTATGGAGGAACAAGCGGGCGATACTGATAATGCCTATTATACCTATACTAGCGCCGTTCGCTGTTTACTCCACGTCGATCCGCTGGGGGCCGCTGAAGTGCTGAAGAAGGCGGTTTTACTAAATGATGAGGAAGACACTCATACGCAGTTGGCACAAATATACAAACACCACTTAAATGACTTGGATAAGGCCTCAAAACACTACGAACTTGCCGCTGTATACCAAGAAGGAAGAGGTGAAAGTCATTGGAGTGAGAAGGCTCTGAATAAGGCTGCCCGCTGTGCCGCAACTGGTGGAAACTTCCAGAGGGCTGCAGAAATGTTCGAAAAGGTGAGTGGTTTTGTTGCAGTGTGCAAGTGTATGAAATAAGACGCCAAGTGCTATTGTGCCCCCGTTCACATCTGAAACAGGGCTTAGTGACGGGTCACGGA